CATGTTAAAAGTAAATAGATTTCAGTAATGCTCAAGTAATCAGGAGTAAGATAGATATCCTTATGTTTTTTGGTACTGCATGCTCAGGTATATTTGCGGAATAGATAAACATTAAAAAAGATAAACATTGGATTAGATCGCCAACAACATATAACAGTAATTTATTTCACTTTTCACTAACATCAAAAAAGCAAACTGCACAAAGGATTTGTGAATATGCATATTGCCCAAGGAAGTGATTTTTGTCACTTTGTATTATCTATTTCCCTGACATTTCTTGAAGACCTAGAAGTTTTAATGATGACTGTGAAACTAAATCTGCTGATAAAACAGCTAGTCAAACTTCGATGAAAGTCACATTCTCGAGGGCCACTCAACATTTCATCACTACTAAAGCCAACAACGGAAAGAATTTTGTGTTGATCCTCTAAGTGCGTGAAATTCACAGTTTATGACCTTAACTGTGTTTACTTACACTATGATGCTTACTGAAGCTAAACTCATGTCTTAGTTTGCTACATTTAAGTCAGTGTTTATTCAGCAGCAAGAAAGCTAAACTACCTGCCTTGATTACACAAGACCCCCAAAGCCAGTACTTGGCCACTGCTTTGGTAGTTTTCTGATACTGCTGTCTTTACTGAGTTCTGTGCCTAGGGAAAAATTTAAATGGTGCCATTCATCAATAAATGTAGCACTACATCCCAAAATCTTATCTCTACTTGCACACCTGACATGTAGCAAAGTTGCTTTACTGTAGTTTAAAGGCCAGTGTGTAGATAACCTTAGGCAAAGAACTGCAAGTTAATCACACAGTTGGACAACTGACATCATCCATAAATTGTTCTGATATAATGGCACCAGCATGCTAATTTATGTGAAGTGATGTCCATTTGCTTATCATGGATTGGAAACTGTTTCACATAAAACAAAATTCTAATGCATCATATGGAGTTATAGCCTATGCTAATTGCTTTTGGCATATTTCCTCTTGTAACCATTTACCCAGCTCTTGGAGATGGTAAATGCCTCTTTAGGAATGTTTCAAAACAAGGTATTTTCCTTAAAATTAAATACACTGGCTGCACTGAGAAGTAATGAAATTTATTTTAATGTAACCACACAACTAATCCATATTCAGATAGAATAAAGTATGTGTTGGTGCTTATTTAAATACAAATGAATGCTACAGACGAAGACTTATTACTAAAATCTAAAAAATAAAATTTAGTAAAATAAATATTTAAGAACAAGTTTCCTACTACATTGATTAAGAACATCCTAAATCTTGTATGAAAAAGAGAATTCAGGACTAATTAACTAACTAATTAACCCATTTCATCACTACACTGAGGCTGTACAAATGCTAAGAAAAATCTGAGTATGTCCTTATGTAGACTGAGTTTAGGTTCAAGTTTGTTCTTTTTGCATCTATCAAGGGATTCTTTGAATCACTTCTCAACCTAACTACTATGGACTCTACTGGGGACACCAGGAGCCATCAGACCTATTGGTTCTGTAGCAGTGGGAAGTAATAGGAATGCTGGAGGAAAACGCATGCACTCTTCAGCCAGTGTGGGAGCTGAAGCCAACAGTTACCTTCAGTTTGTACAGAGACAGTGCCCTAAGTCTGTTAAGTCCAACAGTGCCATAAGCAGTCTGTTAAGTGAGTGGAAACTCACACATAATATGACTATTATTATTTAATTGTATTTTAGGTCAATTTCTGTTAAATCAATTTCTGTTAAACTTAATTATATCCCTCTATGGTTTTAAACTGGGGCAGCATCTATTAAGTTTACTTTCTCCTGGGGTTTTCGCAGTAAAGACACATGCTAAAGGTCTGGCTACTAAATGAGGGCAGCTATTAAATAAGGACGGCTTGTATTAAAGCTGGATGGTAAAGATGTGGCCACGGGTTGAGAAAACCCCTTAGTAAGGCAAGTATCTTGTATTTAAAGAAAAACAAAACAGGGTGGAGGACAGGGAAGGAAACAAACTTTGGTCAATAACTCTTGTAAGATACTCTTTAAGAAACTTAAATGAATGTCCAAAGTTTCATGGCAACTTCCTCTGAAGTTTCTCTTAGAAATGGGTGAGTGGTAATTTGATATAGGTTCCTCATTAGTGAAAGAGGAGAAAATTAGGCACAAACCCTGGTTCTGGAGTCCAAGAGATATAAGGACTTGTAGAAAGTTGTTGACTATTAAAAATTCTGTCAGCGTTATTCTAGAAGAGATAAGATAGAGGACCCTACAGTGTAGTTCAGTTTAGAATTACATCATAATTCTAGAAAAAATAGTTTAAACAAATCTTTAAAATTATAAATACCTTTTGGTTTTTTTTTTGGGGGGGGAGGAGAAGTTTTTACCACTCTGGAGTTCTTAAAATCAGTCTATGTTACTTTTGCTCTACTATTATTTATGAAGAAACTTATTTCTTACTAGCACTGACACTGCACATATGCATATATTCTGATGAATATAGCTATAAGACAAACAAGAAAAGGTGCATTATTTCATGTATACCATATTGTGTTGTTTTATGGTGTTGTAGAGAAGTGAAACACTCAAAGGCAGTCTAATCTGCAGAGGTATATCAGTGGCTCTATAAATTTCCACTATGCTGTTGTTGAAATAATACCCAGCTATTTCATAAACTCACCTCCATAAACTCACATTTCATAAACTCAATTTCTGGTAATTACTCGTGTTTTTTGCAATGCACGGTTGCAATAATTTATCTATGCAAAAATGTTTACGAACAACAAGGTTATATTTGTCCACAGTTGATGTGATGGCTGACGAAAATATGCAGAGAATCTCTCTTCCACCTGGTGCAATATTTCACGTAAGAAACACAGTGGGCCACCTTGGGGCCAAAGTAGTTGGCAGCAACTTATCCCAATGACAGGAAAAATCTGCTTGGCTGAGGGCCTACACCTAATCTTCACTAAACATCTGTTAGATATCATAAGAAGAATGTTGAAGATAATATACATATTAGTTTTCAAACATACCCCGGTAAAGGGATTACTGCAGTGATTCTTGATTGCACTTGGGAACTGATGCATTTTCAAAACCGAAATGGTAAGATCCATTTGATCAAATTCACTCAAAATTTATTTTTAAACTTTTTTCTGACCCAAAAGATGCATTTTTTTCAAAAGATGTCAAAAGACATCTACTTCTGTGAATTCTGGAAGACGAAACTCAAATTAGCAAAATACCAATACATCAGTTGCCAGGTAAGAGCTCACACAGAGCAACTTCGACACATTTTTATATACCTGAAGTCATACTGTTCATCTTACCTGTTAAAGAAAAAGAGCACAAAAATATTTCTTGGTTAAAATACCTTTATAGATTGGTTACCTTTATGGATTTTAATGACCTGAAATAAACATTAGGGAATTTGATCAATATGTCAAAATACTGAAAGACCAATATTTTTGTAGTCCTCAAAAGTTAGGTGTACCCAGCAGAGATCTATTGTGGGTGTGGGCAAATAAAATACAAAGCTCCAATCATTCCATGTTCGTAGTAGAGCAGGAACTTGCTATCTTGCTTTCACACTCACCAAAGGTCAATCTAACTAACAAGTTATAAGCCCTGTTCCAGGTTTAGGCAGGGAAAGGAGAAGAGTGATAGAATGATTATGAACAGAGAAGCAGGTTATGTCTCTGAAGTTCATGCAGTTATACTGATTTTAAACCAGAGAAGTTATGGCTTCATCTACTTTCCAGGATTTGGTCTAGTCATAGGACTAACTTTTAAAGGAAAGAACACATTTTTTTCAAGGATTTTAGATCAAGAAGGTACAGTTGAAGAAATAACAGAATTTTTAAGTCTGTTTTTGCTGAGTTGTGATCTACTTTTATGCATAAAATACATTTAAATGAATAATAATAAGAGATCAGAGATAGGTGGTTATCAATATGCTTCACTATAGGTAACATTGTAAGGCACAAATAATATTGTTATGACAAAGAGGACATAGCATCAGCTATATTGTGGAAAAATAATATAAATTAATAAGCAGCATCCAAAGAAGTTGGACAATTTTCTTTTTTTCATATATAATTTGCATACGCTGTTTTATATGTCTTTGCCATGTGATTTAGACAAGATTTCCAGAAATATTTGTTTACTAGACTCCCTTATATTTCAGAAAGCAAAGATCTATCTCACGTGTTCTGAGTAGCAAACACTGGATAGATTTTGTTCAACAGCTTTCATTTATAACGAGAAAGTAATGATCATGGTCACCCAGTATTTTGTCTGTTTGTTTCCACTGTCATATGGAGTAATGGTCATGTAACAGTACATCAAATGCACTAGAGGGAAATAAGCACCTCTATTTTAGAGAGGTTTCAACTTAAGTACAGGGAAAGACAATGGGTGGATAGGAGAAATAGAGTAAGAACATATAGCAACTACAATTCTAGCCAGAAATCTAACGATTGGCGACTGGTTCTATTCTGCAGCTATGAAAAGAATCTGCTTCACTATATACACACCAGTATCTTCCACAACTAACATTCATAGTATGGCTCATACATGTAATTTGAATCCAAATCTGCACTTGCATTCATTGTCAATAATCAATAGTCAAAACAAATTATAAAAAGAAATTTTTGTTTAGCTTGTGTATAGTGGGGGAAAAATAATCTAGTTCAACAAACCATATGTAGGGCATAATAATCTATGAGCTCTGAGCATAGGTGAAGAGCCAAATTCATTTGGTACTAAAATGGTACTAACCCAGAGTGCATCTAATTAATTCAAAGAAATTATTCTCAATTCGTAACAGTGTAAATGAGAACTGAATGTGGTGCAACATGAATAGGCATAGGATAAAGAGAACGATGACTGATAGATATATATATATTTGATAATGGAGGGGAAACTACACTCAAAGAAATGTTTAATTAGTGCCATAAACGTTTTACAAATAAAAGAAGAGGAAATGAATGCTTTACCACATGGAGCTTTTGTCTTTACCTGACAAATGCGTTATTCACAGAAACAGCCTGCAAGTATTTCTTCAGGGCATAATAATTATGGATGTATTTCCGAACATAATAGCCTCGCCACCTTTTCTGGATCTAGAGGAAATAAATATTTGCTTAGTATATTTCAAATCAAAAGTTTGTATGCATGTCAAGTATCTGTAGTTTATCCCAAATAATATGGTTTCCTTAAAAGTGTTATGAAGTAGAAGCACCAATAAGTTTTAATGAAGAAAATTAGGGTAGGATGTAACATATTGTAGTTAAATGGCAATACGAATTTACTATTAAATGCAAACATTAAAAAAATAGTATTTGAGTATTGGGGTGTGACAATGAAAAGAAGCTCCTGCTACTACCAGTGGCATTGCTCTATGTAAGAACAGTAAAAAAGCAGACAACAGAAGTGGCGTCTTTTCCCACGTACAACAAGCATTCCCTACCAGTCACCACCTCACCAACATCTTACACTACACTTTCACCTTTGTGCTCTAGTTAAAATGTAGACTGAATAAAAGCCTTCCCAGTAATTCAGTGAATCAGGCTTTCTGCAAATTTAATTTACAAACTGCAGTTCTTTCATCTCCAGTGTAAAATGATTCATGTCTATTTGTTGCACATAAATTATAATCTTCTCACGAAATACCATTCTCCTGCATAGCAGAGAAAGCCTAACCTGGAAAAGGAAACCTCTTTCTCTGTAGCTAGTTGTAAAGCTGTACTACAAATAGAAATTAAGTAGCATCCTCCACCAGACAGAAATTATTTTTTGGTGCATTTTGAAAAGTATCAATTGAAAAAAACGAGAAGGAGAAAAAAAAATAAAAGGGGAGGGGGAAACTTAGTCTACCTGACTTTTCCCAAGAATTGATTTTGACAAAAACATTTAAATCTTCTCTGATACTTAAAAATCCTAATCATGATGTTTCTGAAATTACTACCTGTTTACTGGCTATCTGTTTAGTGGGAAGGGAAAGTAAGCATTAAGGACAGACAATTAAGCATTGGGATGGACTGCCCAGTGAGGTGGTGGAGTCACCATCCCTGAAGGTGTTCAAGAAATGGCTGGATGTGGCACTTAGTGGTGATTGGACAAAGGTTGGACTCAATGATCTTAAAGGCCTTTTCCAACCTAAATGATTCTGTAATTCTGTGATTCTGTAATTAGGTAAAAAGTTATCAGCACTGTCATATTTATCCCTGTGACATGTACAGGAGGAAGACATAACTATTCAGTCATGCTGAGGGTTGCTCTCGTTCCTGATTTTCTTTGCCATAAGAGGTCAGTGTATTCTAGATATACACATCTGAAAAATAGATTAATGATCTTTTAGATTAGTTTTATATTAGTCATAGATTAATGATGATAGATTAATGATCTTTTCCTTTGTTCCTTATGTCTGGTTCCTCTATCTTTACATTCTTCTGTCCTTGAACTTATTAATTTCCCTGAAAAATATTCTTTACTTCCTTTTTTGCATTTTGTCTCCTTTTTCCTCAATATTTTTCTAAACTAATCTCCAAATTTCTATTTTCTAGTCTGCAGTACCTTCATTACTACTCCAACTTCCTTCTCTTTGACCTTTACAGCTTTGAAATCTTAAAAGACATAACAGCTGAAAGGAAGAATCTACATTTAAAAAGCAAGAAGTTTGAGGTTTTACTGTCCAGAAGCAAATCCAAGTGCGAAGTTGCTCCCCTTCACTAAATGCATTGAAGAGAAAAATGTTCTAATTTTCTAAGCGCTATCCTACCCCTGTGGGCCTCTAGCTACTAGACTTTTCAAGAATTTAAACTCTTCAGTGCATCTACAGGGAACATTCTTCTTTTTTTTTGCTTTACATCAACCCTTCTCTTTCCAGAACCAAGGGAATGACTTGGTAAGTGGAGTGAAATCCCTGTGTTTGTGGTATCAGGTTTTTTTTCGTACCCTAATATCATTCTAAATACTCACGTAAAAAAAGGAGGGAAAGAGTGTCATGGGTTTTGTGTTTGATTCAGCCAGAAGGCAAGATTAAAAAAAAACTTGCCCATTGGCCCTACTATCAATGACCTTCAAAAGGTTATTCAAAGCCAAAAGACTTCAGAATCTGCATCGTCAAGTCGTGGAACTGCTCTCCAGTAACAGGCAATATTCTCTCAACTCCTTCAAGTTCAATTGCAGTCCAATTCTGTACCACTGTGATATCTGACCCAAGTTACCGCAATTTCTCCATCTCCTAACTTTTCCTGAGCAGAAAACAGTAACACACTGGAGCTGTCTATAAGAAGAACAAGGCAGGGCTGAATATTTTCATACTTTGATACCATTTTGCTATCACAAAACCCAAAACACTACTATTCAAAGTAAAAACTAGCATTTTGCCTCAACCAATGACACCTTGGGGCACAGTTATGATTATCTTTTCACATGGGATTTAAAAGAGAAAAAGTATCACAGAAAAGCTTTCCTTAAATCTTTGAGTCATGTGTCATGAAGAAAACTAAACTATGCGCTGGAATTATTAGGAATAAGAGGATATCAACTTCCAGTGTTAATATTTTCTTCTATTTCCCCTTTGTGCATCAGCATGTATTTTCCTCTCTTCCCAAATAAGACCCAAAACTAATTTAAAAAGTTGGTATTTTCTTTTACCTATGTGTTGTATATTTGGGATTTTTTTTAATAATAAGGGTTTGGACCTGTAGATATTGTTATAATATTAATAAACAACCGTTACGGGAACAAGAAAGGTTAAGCACTAGACACGCTGCTTTGCACTAGGTGATAGTAAATTTCATACTCTGCAACTCCACTTTCTCATAGACAAGCTTATTGGGTTAAAAAGGAATGGAGAAAGAGCAAAGAATGAGTATGCCTTCAGAGATCTGGGATTAAGCAAAATCCTTTGCATGTGAATAAGGATCTTAGCTTTGTTTTGCTGTTTGGCTTAAAAATTTCTCAACAAGAGCAACTTGGCTGCCATATAGCCATGTGCTCATTAATGCAGGATTATGGTCCCTTTGAAACTCTTTCTGACAGTCTTCACCTCACAGTTATAAATGCGGAACTGGATATTTCTGGGTTAAAGGATCAAAACTCAAACTGAAAGACAAAGGGCTCAAATTGTATAAAGCTATAATTACCTCCAATGGGCTCAGTGTACCAATTAAATGCTGCATTCTACCTTTATTTACACCACTTTCTGTTCAGAATGAACTCACTGATTTCAACTGAACGAAACACAAGTAAGAAAAACTGCAGTCTCAAATTATTTTATGCTAGATTTCTTTTTCCCTCGTACCGTATGTCAGAGATCCCAAAACTGAAGATTAGTCTTTTTAGAAAAGATCATTGTACACACACCTTATGATGATGCTCATGTTTCCAATGTTAAAGTTTTAAATGTTTCCTTTTATAAGGAAGTATAATGTGATGCAACTGAATTTCTTTCTATTTCCAAGGTGAATGCTTAAAAAATTCTTGGAAAAAAAAGAGACAACTGTGTATGCCCTTCAAAGTAATTAGCAAGTTTCAACAGTGATTGGTACAAAACAATTATTGTCATTGATCAGCACTGAACAGATAATTTTAAACAAAGTCATTGTGTGCTCAGCAGATTACAGCTTGTTAACGGGCAAGTTCTAAATGACCTCTTAAGCTAGTCAAATCAATGATGCATATTCCTCATTAAGTAACATCAAAATGTAAGTGGTCTTATAAATAATGTTTATTTTAAGCACTAAAACAAATGGCAAAACCTTGATATATCAAAAGCCATCTGCTCGTGGAAATTTTTTTTTTTGCCATAGGATTAGTTTTGTTGCTGAAAATTTATAGTAACCTTAAATCTTTTAAGGGAGAGAATCATATTTTGACGTAGTACTGAAACTACTTAACACAAGATCTCTGATTTAATTTTAGAAGGTAAAACTGATAGGTCTGGCTACAAAAGACAGAGATGTAGAATGACATACACAGTTATTGTTATATTTTTAGAACACTGAACTATATTAGTCATGAATCAAACTTCCAATGTGTGAATATGAGGCACTGTTGGCTTAGGAAAAGTAAAGTCTGGGCATGCATCTACTGTGCAGAAGCTCAACAGGCCTGATTCTCGATTGTCCTGGACCTTGGTTAGTTCTTCATAAAACTGATGACAGAAAAAAATCAAAACCATGCAGTGTTTCAGATTGGTAGCATTTTAAATCTGCTGTGCAGATACGGCTACACAAGATTATTTAGATAGAGGAGAAACGGATTCTGACATTTGCAACTAAATAAAGATCTGTTCTATTGTTTTCTACTGATTTAAACTTCTATTAAAGAAAAGGACATGACTGAAAAAATGGTACTTTGAAGATTTATATCACCTAATGATTCAACATTATATTTCCATTACAAATGAATGGGAACACATTCAATTTCTTTTAAAAATGAAAGACCAAATGCAAAACTCCATTTGACTAGAATACATAATTACCTCTGAAATTTGGTCTTCAAATGTCTTCTAAAAGTACACAGGCAACTTTTAAGAGCTGGCTTACATCTTATGTTTTCTCACTGATTTCAGCTGCAGGAGTAAATGGCATTTATCCACTGTGGAATACTTTCCAACTAGCTAACTAAGGAATAAACTAAAACAATAACAAGAAAGTACATTTGTGAGGAATTAGACTGCTGTTAAACACCTTCAGTTCTCTAACCTGCACCAAATGTAAGATTCAACTTTGTGCCTTTGAGAGAACCAGGACTAAGTAAAAAAACCTGATGGGAACACATCTCTTGACTCTGAGTTATTCCGGACCCAGAAAGGACACAAAATTAAAATCCATTCTGAGAATCTTCCTACTTTGCAGGAGTTTCCTTGGGTTAATCTTCATCCTCACCATATTCCGACATTTGGCAGAATTCAAAGGGTAAGATAGTTTGTCTAAAAAGATACAGGCCTCTCAAGTAAAACAGTTTTATACCACAAAATAAGTAACTAAGATAAAAAGATTTCATCAAATTAATTATCTCATGTCCTTCCCATGTTTGTTTTACATATTTGTTTAGGTGCAGTTCCGAAGTTCAGTGAACAAAAATGCTAATTTCCAGTTAAACATATTTTGCAGTTTTCCCTGTAAAAACCTTCATCGACTGTAGATTTACTAAAGTTCATGGACTGTTTATACTTTTCTTCATTTAGCAAAATTCAGTCATAGTATCATTAATGAGATCAGTGCAGTTCCACTTCTGTGTTTAGGTAATGAAATTGTCCCGTGCTCTCTGAGTAACTCTTGAGATTCAATACATCAAACGTCATGTACTAACAAAAGAAAAAGCACAGCTACATCAGCAAATCAGTATAGAAGCCCTATAGTTTGTCAGAATTGTAAATATATGTCTACATTTGTAAGAACATTGGCAAATAGAACGTTTGGGGGTTTTAGCAGTATCACATAAGGTAAGGTACAATGAACATTTAAATGGGGCAAGACACACGCAGGTGCCTTAAATTCAGCTACAGTTTTCAAATACAACCAAAACTACTGAGTGCAACTTTAATTTTTAACTATGTACTATTTCCCACTGTTGCCATCAGCATATCAATCAAGTGTATATTATTCTGGTTTGCTCATTTTATTAAAAGCAAATTCGGAGCACAATTGACTTTTCATTTGTTTAACAAGGGAAGAAATATTTACCCTGACAGCCATTTCATTGTAGAAATTCATCTTCATAATAAAATATGCTGTCTGTGAACCAAGGAAAAAAAAGATGGCATATATTTCAGTTACACAAAGACAGTCCTCCTATTTTTACATATAAAAGATAAGAATCTTTATACATAATACATAATAAGAGTTCTAGGCTTACAGAGAATAAAATCAAACTTTGTATTGAAGAGATAGGCTTCCTAATACATAATGCAGGCTTAACCAGAAAAATCTATGGTAGTCAAACTAGGAGCTAATGGAGATATATGATCATAAAATGCTCTCCGCTGAGTTTGATAATCAATGGTGCTCTACTGAGAGTAGAATAACAAAGCAGAAATATTCACAAGTGCTGGTGACACGTAGTATTGTATGATTTATTCACTGGGGTTCTTTTAGCCAAAACTCACAGAAACATAAAAGGAATTCATATTTCAAGACGTCTGGTTTAATGAAAAATTCAAAGAAATGCTGTCTTCAGTCGAAATCGTTCAAGGATACGGATGCAGTGATGGAGCAAAATTGTGCCTTCCAACCATCTGTACTAAATGTTATGTACTTAGCTGCCTCCCGAGTAATCGTTGGGAATTTTGTTTCATTTAATATTCATTTTAACATCATAAAATCATAAATACAATGATACCATGTTACAGTGAATCCCCTGATATAGAAAACATTTCCTGAAGTCCTGGTTTCCTTCCAATAAAGTAGAATTCCTCTCATAGTGAACGAATCCCCTATTATACTAAGCAATCACTTGGCAGCATAGGTTATTTTAATGGATACATCACTTTAAACTAAGCTTTCACATCTGTTCCGCCCTCTAATTACAAATGCAAAATGAACATAATTCACAATTGTATCATAAAAAGTAAAATATAAGTACTTTGAATGCAAGAGTATGTCCTTTATTTAGCACAACATGCAGCTTTTATGTGATTCTCATGTTTTAGACACAAATCAAAGGCAAAAGTGCTTTCCCCTGATATAGTGATTTTCTCCCCCATGGCAAACAGGAATTCACTATAAAAGGGTTTCACTGTAATTAGTGTTATTTGAATTGCCTAGTCTGATCCAAAGCAAATTGTCTGTGGAGAGCAGCAGGACTGGATTATTTATCAACAGTCTGGGCAATTAAGAAACAGTTGGCTGCAATATGTTATTTACAAATGAACACAATGATGCTACTTCATTTTAAATTCTCTTTCTTCATTACATTAAGCAAGGCATAATTCCTGCAGTTTAATTAAGGTGCATTTTAAATGCTCACTTTAATATCGTACCAATCTAATAATAATGGAAACAGTACAAAAAAATATTTCTTATGTGAAAGAAAATTGCAGGATTGTTAAATTTCAAAAAAGTTTCACGTGTATGTGTAGATGTATACATACACACACGTATACATATATATATTTGAGGGAAAATCTGCCCCAAAGGTACAAATTAGAATAAACAGTGGACTGTCTCTCTCCCTTCATCTCCATAAATGTTTACTGAGTGATACTAAGAGTAGATAGCTAATAATGGAATGAAATAATGTCTGCCAGATTTAAGTATATTCCTAAACTGTTTGATTAAATTGATAAAATTTTGTTTTGCAGCTCATCTTTTCTTTCTTTGCAAGGGAACATAAGAGTTGCCACACCACCAAATAGATAAAGTACATTTTAATGGAAGTTCCTAAGCTTAAAAATGTTTATCAGATTTCTGTCCATCGATTACTAAACTAAACAATCTTACATCTTTTTGTTTATTCTTCTCAGAGTTGAAGGCTGTGAGCACTTAGGTCTGAATGCAGCCCATTTCACTGAGGAACCTAAATCGGAGACCTAACATCATTAATGCTCTTGATATCATCAACACTCAAAGACAGAGGGACCATTGTCTCTGAGCTTGGCAAAGTATTGAAGAACTTTGTCTACTATTTGTTAGTCAGTGGCAACTAGGGTCCTAATTTGGACACCTCACTAAGGTGTGAAAATCCAGGCCTTTACCACCACTTAAGATGGTCACTCACAATGAAAAGGAAGTTACACATTTCTGCTTTTACTCAACTGTTGCTCTGAATCACAAGTCATCCAAATGCAGAATTGCTCACACAACTGTCTTACAACCTGATTCTTTCACCAAAAGCTGAAGGCTGTGTCACCATCTAGGTTCTTTTGCAAATAGATTTGCCCTCTGTTTTCTAATCCTAATCAGAAAGTTTTGCCATTACAAGTGATGGAAAATGTGTTCATCCCTATTCACAAAAGAACAGTCATAATTTAGTGCTTCAACCCAAGTCTACACTTATGTGCTCTCCTACTAAACAAAAGATTATTTCCTGAACTGGGGCCTGCTTGTCCAGAAGACCCTTTCCTTATGCTTAAGTGGAATTACCTGCATTTCAGCCTGTGTCCAATGGATTGCTTGTAATTTTTTCATTGAGTGCCAATTTGAAGGTGACACTGCCAGGTTAACTCTCTGGGGAAAATTATCTTGCCATCTCATCCACATGTACCAGCTCCATTTCTGAATCATGAAGTCTTTGTATCTGTCTGATGTTACAGATCTTCCTACCAGCTTACTTCAAGCACATGTTTGAAGCCTTTTGTTTATAAACTGTTGTACTATTTTCTCCCTTTGTATTTAAAAACATGCTTGGGGACCACCTCCAAATGTGATCTGATTCTGATTGGTGTTTTCTTTTGCTTTAAACAGTTAATATGAAATGACAAATTCAAACAAGATCCAGAAATCTGACTGAGGTTAAGGTTGAGAGAAGGAAGAAACACATGGTCTAAATTGGCGTGTTGTTGTAATGGTTTGGGTGTTTTTGTAGAGCAAATAGGCATTTGACTAATTCCTATTGGACTGGAATTATTTAAAACTGGTTGCTGAGTTAAAGCTAAACCATTTAGTGTGGTGTCAAACTATATCACATAAAATATTCACTTTTCTCAATTGCATCTCCTTTAAAAGTAAGCTAAAAATACAGCCATCATGCATGCCAATTTCATATAACAATTAAATGTTACAATTCCCCTTCCTTAAACAAGTGCTTATTTGACTTTGAGAAATAGTACAATAAAGAAACAATGATGTACAGTTTGATTCATGTTCTGGCACTTGCCTGGTTTTAAAAGTCGTACTTTCCTGCACGTCATGCAAAACTTCAGAATCCAACACAGTCATGTTATTAAGAAAGGTTAAGTTTTCTTAAGTTATTAAGAAAATTGTAGGAGAGCAGTTCTTAATTTTAGCTTGAGATTAATTAGGAAACAAAGCTTTATACCAAAGAACCTATGTTTAGAATAGAAAGGCACATAACCTTAATCATATGAATGGCATCAATAGGTGAGGGTTTTTTTACTTAATGTATTTTAACAGTCAAAAGAAGAGGCAGTAGAGGAGTAGGAAATGAAATACTAGTAGTGATGCACATATGGACAACCAATCTGATGAGCCTCAGCCTTTGTTATTTTCCGCATCAGTACCACTCACATTTCACAATTTTGAATATAATCATTAAAATGATTTATTATCAAGCAATCATGGGTATTTTGTGCATATGCTTTGCCTTGTTTGCTGGCAGCAGATACCAATCCAATCATTATCAGCAGACAAATTTTAAAGTGACCAGTGTATTTAAGGAACTATCATGTCAAATGTATCATTGTGTTTCATAGTCAGGAGTCATTACAGATGTTATTAGCAAGAGTTCATTGCAAATATTAACTGATCCTTTTAACTTGAAAGTTATGCTAAGCTGCTGAGAAGATTTTGGGTTTTTTTAACATATTCCAAATTCAGCCATTGAGTAAAGACAAATATAAGGCATTAACTTGAACTTCATATTAAGTCCACCCCAAATCACACAATATTGAATATAGCAATCTAAAGGGAGTAAAAGGTGCCTCTGCATCTGCTACTTGTATGGCTTTCAGGTTGGCTTCCAATCAGGCTGTCCTATTTAGTCTTCTCCAATCAAAGAGATGGCAAGCACAAAATGAAGTATTTGAGGGAAAAAGGTGGTTTTCTATGCTGATTGCTGTAAAATTTGTAAGCTTTCTGATGAGATTCTCTTTCTCTAGAGCTCTGGCTAGCACTGGATAAGTACTGGAATTCAGAAACTGGATGAATTCATGGTCTGATTTAGAATGTGCGTACTAAGTATGGGCTTGTAGAATTTTTTGTCCTACATTATTTCACAGACTTCAGATTTGGCAAGAGCTTGTCAGTTATGTCTATTTGAAGAGCTAAATATGAACTAGGCTTTATTGATTAAAGACTCTTTTATTTTTCTTTTCAGATATATATTTCAAGAATGGAGAGCTGAAGGGGTTTTATGATGTTAGCTCTCTAAGCTCCATTATTACAGGAAATCTGTGCTAATTTGAAAGACTCTATCTTAAAATGTAACTGTCCAAGCATTTTTTAAGAAGACAGGGGAAAAGAAGACAGAACAAAGAGGTGAGGTAAAAGACCTCTGATTTCATGAATGCATAGAACAATTGAGGTTGGCAGAGACCTCTGAGACTCTAAACCACTACTCAAAACAGGATCAATTAGAGAAAGTTGTGCAGGGCCTTGTGTGGTGGGGTTTTGAGTATCTCCAAGGGTGGAAACTCTACAAGAACAGCTTGCTCAATCTGGGCAACCCCTTCCAGTATCTGAGCACCCTCACAGTAAAAAAAGTTGCTTCTTATCTTCAAGCGGAATTTCTTGTGTTTCAGTTTGTGCCCACTGCCTCTCATCCTGTCCCTGGGCACCAATTCCAAATACCATTGAGGCTGGCTCTCTGGGAAGAGTTATTTTGCCATCTCACCTACAGGACAACACTCAGAACAGTGCAATGGACAATAAGCATGGTGGTTATATGTTTACTTTGTATCTTATCTGAGAATCACTGTTCTTACAACAACTACACATAAAAGTAAGTCTCTGAAGTGACATAATTCTATTTAAAATAGGAAACTGATTACTGTCAACAAAGAAACTAGCATTTGAACATGAATGGTCGAAAGAAAGCTCCTTACAATCCGGGAGGGATTGAAAATTGGCCATCAGACCTTAGTCCTGATTAATCCCTCTTAAAAACCTAATGATCAGATGTCAAAAACTGGCACGGTCCTTCTTCTCATCTCGCAAAACACAGAAACACATGAATCGCCTTGTTTCTGAAATTAAATTCATCCCTCTACAATGCTTAAACTGAAAAAATGTAGAATTTGAGGGAACATTATGAGATGACTTCACCTAAAACATTGCCTGAAGTGTATCTAAGCCATCCATAAGCATTTTTCTATTCTCCTCTTAACAACTTGCACTAGAGGGAGTTCCACAGCATCTTTTGGCAGTATGTATCAATATTTCACAGGAATTTGATCTCTTCTCTCCCTTTTCCCAGTGACTGCATAGATCCTTTCTCTTTATTAAAAAATTTAATATACATTATCATGTCTCCATTCTACGGAAGCTCCTCTAGATTAAACAAACCTTCTCTAAGCTCAGGAAAAATTTTCAGATGAAGTTCCTTCTCTTTTTCAAAATACAACCCAATCCAACCATGCAGCTATCTGCTCTGCATTCAAGAATTAGTTTTAGAGATGACTGAAAAGCACAGCCTGAAAGGATGGCTCACCATTTATTAGTTAAGCCAGTTAGTAAGCTGAAAGAGAGAAAATCTTTAAATAGATTACTGATAAACTTGGGGGAAAAATAGACAATCTTTCAGGTACATGACTCCTGCTACTTGAAAATATAGTTCAGTAGAGGGTATGAACTTTGGTCTGTAATGTATGAGTTATTACAGCTCTTTTTTTTACTTTTTCTTGAGTTGTCTGTTTTGATTAAAACACAACAATTTAACAAAATTAATCTAGAATAAATGACTAACAAGTTTAAAACTATTGTAAAACATTAACATAAATTGATAAATTAGTGAAGTAAACCACATATTAAAACCTTAATTTTTTTATGTTAAAGGCAAATTAGTTTCTTCTTAATCTCCTAAACCTGTTAATAGAGGTTTTAGCTTGTGTGTTATCATACACTTTTGCTATCTTCAGGTCTGTCAAGGGAATTAGATTGACTGTGATCTGCTGTGTGCCTTAAGGCAAAACCTCAAATACTTCAAGGTTCATTAAGTAAGAAATTTAAACCACTAAAACATAAACCAGCAATGTGTGGACACATTGGCTTATTTTATTTTCAAAATTAGAAGTTCTGCCAGGAAAAAAAAAAAAGCACCTTTTAAAGCTCCAATTCTGCAATTAGCATCATGTGGGCAGGCTTCTGCATGAGCAGATCTCATTGCTGGTTTGGGAACTAATACTCCAGAGCTGCAAACACTTAAACACTGACTTAACTTGACTGTTATGAGTAGGCTTACTGAAATTAATGGTGCTTTTCATGATAGTAAAGTTAAGTACATGCCTGTGTGAATAAAGGATCAAGATTCAGTTTTTTAATTTCATGATGAGCAAATGAATTATTTCTATGTATTCTACAAATAACCAAACAAAACTTTTTAAAGTAGTTTTCTACCTCCACCATTTTTCTGAAGTGTTTTCTGCATCGATATCCTCTCCACCACTTCTGTATCAAAATCGCCATTTCATTCAGATGTCTAAAATGAAATATATTAACAAAATAATGATTTTTTGGAGACTTCCCAGTATAACTTTTTTTTTCATAATATTAAAAATAACATATAGTGTATTATCCATACTTATTCCAGATGACCACTACAAACACACTTTATATGTATACATGTATCCATACATACATATGCACACGTACAAATAGACCCTTATATACCTATATTTATGCATACACACAAACTTTGATTTTTGGAAAAAATGTGTTACTGCAAACTTCCCTATTTTGGTTATCATTACAAAAGTTTAATGAAAAAGCCTTACGAATTTCATTTGCATAATAAGATGATTTTATTTGCGTGGATGGTTTTAAACAACATATCAGTTCAGAATTTTTTACGTCACATGCACATTTTCGCAGCTTTACAATTTTTAAATATTTGACAAAACCCACTGATATCTGGAATTCTGAGACACCTTATTCACCTGTATACATCTTCTTTGCTTTTATGAAATTATACCTAGCTTAATTGTGAGTTAATATTTACTTTGACTCTCTCTCTATATATATACATAATATATATGTATGTGTTTATATATATTATATATGAAATTATGGTACTAAAAATTTCATAATTGGTGTCTCACATTAATTTTTGGAGAAAATCATGCAATCATTACTATGGGACTGTCTAGAAAAAAACTGCATAGGGGATCATTCATACCACCTGACTGCGGACATCAAACTCATAAGCCTTGAAGCCCACTCAGTGGAAGCAGTCTTAGGGTAATTCAGAACACTGAGAACTGCACATATTGAGCCTGTGCTCCTAAGTCAGAGAGAATCACAGAATCATTGAAGTTGGAAGAAACCTTCAAGATCAACTAGTCCAACCGTCAACCCAGCACCACCATAATCACCCCTAAACCATATCCCCAAGTGCCACATCCAGACACCCCTTGAACGCTTCCAGAGATGGTGACCACCATCCCCCCAGGCTACTTATTCCAATGCCTAATCACTCCTTCACTGAAATTTTTTTCCTAATATCTAATCTGAACTTCCTGTGGTGCAACTTAAGGCCATTTCCTCTGATCCTTTCACTTGATACATAGCAGAAGAGATCGACCCCCACCTCACTACAACTTTCTTTCAGGCACTGTAGAGAGCAGTGTGGTCCTCCCTGAGCTTCCCCTTCTCCAGGCTAAACAACCTCAGCTGCTCCTCATATGACTTGTGCTCCAGACCCTTCACCAGCTCCGTTACCCTTCTCTGGACATGTTCCAGCAACTCACTGTCTTTCTTGTAGTGAGGGGTCCAGAGCTGAACACAGTAAATGAGGTGAGGCCTCACCAGTGCCAAGTACAGGGGGGCCATCTCTTCCCTAGTTCTCCTGGACAAACTTGATACAGGCCAAGAAACCAAGAGGACGCTGAGCAAGATCAGTCTGCACACAGTTGCAGAGAAAATCCTCTTCTACACGTAGCTGAGATTTACTTCTTCCTACATTGGTCATTACTAAATACAAATGTGTGTTTGGAAGAGCATTTTCCTATAGAATAGATTGGCGAAGACACTTGGGTTTTCACTTTCTTCTGCGGCATACAGCTGTTACTCATGTCCTGGAAACAGAGGGTAAATAATCAAGCCTTTGTCTTTGTGGGTGCTTTTTGACATTGATTTTTTGGAGGGTTGAAGTACCATGTTTTTTTGCCTGCTGAATGCTTGCCTGTGACAGCTGCATCCTGTGACAACACATTTGAACCAGCAATGGAAAGCAAATTACCTGTGCTTTTTTTGACAAGTGCACATAATGACTGTAGCCTATCTTTCTATGAGGGAAATACTAGCCATTAAATAATTAATTTTATTAAACCTAATAATAACTTATGTTTGACACAGTCTGTCTGGATGATACATAATGACCCGTGACAGGCAAGAGGTCAAACTAGAAGATGTAAAAATCCCTCGCCCCAATTTTTATGAAGATGCAGAAATTTGAGCACATGAGTTTGACCAGTTGGGCTTACGATCATAAAAAATGGAGGAGGGCTTTCAGGGAGAAGGGACCAATCATAGTGTTTCCAAGAATCTTGTATCAACATCATAAAACCATAGAATCATTAAGGTTGGAAAAGACCTTCAAGATCAAGTCCAATGTTGATACGGCATTTTACAGAACAAAAATCTCTGATTTACAAATGGAGAAAATTACGTAAAGAGAGATTTTTTTTTAAATGACCTGGTTAAATCCAGCAGTAGAACTTAATTTCTACAATAAAAGTCCAGTTGCCATACCCTCACTAGGCAATTTTTCTGTAACAACAACAATAAGAGAGAGCAGCGCCACAGAAAAGGACCTGGGGATCCTGGTTGCCAGCAAGTTGAATATGAGTCAGCAGTGCCCTGGCAGTCAGGAGGGCCAACCCTGTCCTGGGGGGCATCAGGCAAAGCATCATCATCTGGTCGAGGGAGGGGATTGTCCTGCTCTGCTCTGCACTGGTGCAGCCTCACCTTGAATATTGTGTGCAGTTTTGGGCACCACAATGTAAGAAAGATATAAAGCTACTAGAGAGCATCCAAAGGAGGGCTATGGAGATGGTGAAGGGCCTTGAGGGGAAGCTGTTATGAAGAGTGGCTGAGGTCACTTGGTCTGTTCTGCCTGGAGGAGACTGAGGGGAGACCTCATCCCAGTCCACAACTTCCTCGTGAGGGGAAGAGGAGGGGCAGGCACTGATCTCTTCTCTGTTGTGATCAGTGACAGGACCTGAGGGAGTGGTTTGAAGTTGTGTCAGGGGAGGTTTAGGTTGGATATTAGGAAAAAGTTTTTCACCCAGAGGGTGGTTGGGCACTGGAACAGGGTCCCCAGGGAGGTGGTCACAGCACCGAGCCTGACAGAGTTCAAGAAGTGTTTGGACAGCGCTCTCAGGCACATGGTGTGACTCGACGTGTCCTGTGCAGGGCCAGGAGTTGGACTTGGATGATCCTTTTGAGTCCCTTCCAACTCAGGATATTCTATCATTCTATAAGAAAAGTCTCTGAATCAGCATATCCGAGGGACATTTGGTTCTTTCGTTTCTTTTCCAGTTGTGAAAAGATGTCCTATAGAATACTGTGTATCTATTATGAAGATAGATTATTTACACACTACCTATTAGCATCATGCCTTTTTAACTGTATGCAGTTCTGAAAATCAAAAAATATTTTTTACAGTGCCACAGCATATATTTCATTCTGTTGAAAAGCAGAATAACAGTTGTTGCTTTTTTTTTTCCCCTAAATGCTCTCATTTTATTAAAATCAAGTAATACCATGAGCAATTTTGAGGAAAAATTCAAGGCTGAAACACAGATTAGGATAGGCTAGATAGGCTTAATATACTACCTCAGATAGGCTCGGACCCTGCATCCTCGAAACCAGCTCTGGATTTTGACAGCAGCTCTGTATTTTATTTTTCTGTCTTCATCTATAGATCTGGAAATATAAAAGCAGTAATAATTATCAGTATGGCGATGTAGAACCAAAGTAAGAAAAATATTCTAAATATGTTTTATTGTTGCAGTTTGGGATCCTTTTCACTAGGTTTTTAACTTTTTAATTCTACATAATTCAATGGTAATGCAGAAAAATGTAATTTACATTAGTTGCATAGTATGAAGGTAACAAGGATAAAGAGTATTGAAACTCATAGGGGATGTAAGTTTTGGGAGAGTGTATTTCTTATTCTCACACAATACTGAATATACATGTCAGCATGTCACATGGACTTCTTCCATTGCAGGTGAAATATGTGGATAATGCTTTAACTAAAATTAGGACTGAATTAGAACAAAAACCAGGTAACTGTGTATAATATTGTATACTATGTGAATATTAAATAAATTCACTGTGGTCAATACTATAATCTGAAGCATATATTAAACGTAAGATCTAGTTTAAACACATTATCTTTTGATTGTTAAAAAATATTTTAGTCACTTATTACTTGAACATTGATAGCATCAATAATGGTGACAGATACACTCCTTGTCTGTAGGATTTTTTTAATGAATATGAGTTGACCTTAGCAGGATGGAACAGAGGATTTAGACATTCTATCTAGTTTCCTAGGAAGGAATTTCAAGAGGAGAAATATGAAAAAGAAGAGGTGATCAAAGGAAAGGGAGATACAAATGTAAGTTTATACTGTTATGACAATGAAAGTATAGGAAAGAAACTAGGTGTGGGAATTTCCAAACTTTAGAGGGTCTAGAACATCAGGAAACTTAGTGTGGCTTAAAAGGAAGTCAGAACTTGGAAACTTATTAATTTAAACAGATACCAAAGAGATGACCATAGGAATCTTTTACATGGAAATACAGTAATCAATGCAACAGCTTATTGAGTCCTGACAGAACTTTTCAAAATGAGAATTCAAAGACACGGATTTTGGAGATGATGTAGATATGAAACTGGCAGCATATTGACATGTGCTACAGACAGGCAAAGAGGGAATAAAAGGAAACAACAGAATTACAAAATATGCTAGGGTTGCAGCATTGATTAATACAGATCCTAGAGGAAATAATGAAAAAGGGAGGATACAGAGAAGGATGAAGGATTTGGTTTTAAGTTACACAAAAAGAAAGGTTATCTAGAAAGAGATACTGGTGAGGCAGCAGAAAATGCAAGGTAGATATAGGGGAGAATTGATGACTTCAAGGAGATTTTCAAGAACTATTAGATGTCAAAGCTTTGTGTCAAATGACACAGTACAAGGAAAAGACATGCACAAGTGAGAAAGAAACACAAGAAGCACAAGTAAAAGGACCTCATCAGAAAATAATTCCAAGAGATATCCCTTGCTTGCATTCTCTCTGTGACTCTGTCTACTAGGAGAACAGTGTTTGTGACAAAGCTAAAAGTCATGTAAGGAAAACCATGAATCTAAAAGAGATTAAAGAAATATATTAACCTGGAAGAGGTTTTTAAGAGAATTTAGGAAGATATCATTACCATTACAAGTTTCAATGCTGAGAGGTAAAACTCAGCTATGAGATCATCTCTGGCTTTTATTTATTTTTTGTTTCAAAGCGTCAGTAAGTGTCAAGTCTTTGAACTGAAAATTATATTTTAATTTTCATGGATTTTTTTGTGTTATCCCTTTTTTATTAGGAACATATGTACCAAATACTTTAATTTGTTACACCTGACACAAAATAACAATTAGGTTACTATTAGTTAGTTTTCTTAATTAGCTGATATTAGTGAGCTTGACTAACAAAGTTTTGTGTCAACATTAATTGCATCAGTAAACACCAACAAGATTATTTTTATCTGATAAATTAGGATTATCCTCACCATATTTCTTGTGAAATGAAATGCAGATTTACTATCAGAGACCAAGAAACATTAGCTCCACTCATTTTATATCATCTGGTGCAGCATGTGCTCTCAAATCACATTAAATGGGCACAAATTTTCATTGTCATCTGACAATCATCAGACCTTCTCAGTATCTGAAAACTGTTGGAAACAGACTTTCTTAATCTAAGACCACAGAATAAAAAGTTTTCAAAGCTGGCTAGAGAGTTTACTTATTCCCTTCTTGTGCAGATTCTGAGACTTCGTAGGAAGCAGACACCTTCAGAATACTTTTACCTAGAGGTAAATCATTTTGATTAAAAGGATTTTGATTGAGCAACTTGGGCCTGGACAAGCAGCCACAATTACAGCCTGGAAATTAAGGGGATGTGGGACCGGCCATGTCAGAGGTGACAGCTCCAAAACCACTCCTAACCACTTGGCAATGACAACAGTCTGCTTCTGGAAGAGCAGAAGCCTTCTCCTCTCTTACTCCCTGTTAGATTTTTTTAGCTGGCATTCTGTCTTGCTTGGCCAAGGCAGTGTAGAAGTCCTTGTAAAGTTCATTGAAGAAGACCAACAACAAGATAGTTCCACAAACCCTTTCAACTGCCCTTGCCAGCAGAAGTGGTTTGAGGTGAAAGTTTCTCAGGCAGGTATTTGCCCTTTTGATCAGGTTGCATAGTTGTCATACTGTTTGAATCAAGCTTTTAGAGTCACAGATATTTCTCAAAGACTTTACTGAAAGTAAAAAAGGCATATTCAAGGTCAGCACCTGACACAGATGCTACAGTAAACAAAAGTAGGTTCTTGAATGAGTAGACTGATAAAATTGTGTAACACTTAAGACAGTGCACTAATGGATCCTGAATAGTCTAATGCTTATGCTGACAGGGTATTTCTCAAAGTGCAGGTTTATGGTATTTTTGCATTATGACATCATTGGGCAAGCCCTTCCCTAGAAAGGTGTTTTCCCTAAAAAGCCGGTTTAAGACACCTCATACCTCTCACATAAACAGAGTTCTGCATAAAGCATGACAGGAATGTTATGAAGATCAGAAAAATATTATTAAGATTAGTTGCTGAGCTGGACTGTTTGAATCTTCTCATTTAAATACTCAGCTGCAAATCTGAATTTTCAGAAGCTGATGAATCATAGCCTATTCTTAAAAGGGAAACAATTCATGTTTGGAAAGCTTTGCCAAAAAACAAATCCCCAAACATCAAGCATGCTGCCCTCCAATGGATTCCCAAGTCTGGCTCAGACTGCTCTTTCTAACCTGAAATATGTGAAATACAAGCATAGTCTCCTGTAACTGATGTTTGTTTAGTGAACTGCTGTGCGTACAGCCACAGGAGTATGAACAAAAGTTCAGGGGAAGAACAGGAAAACACAACACTTTACATGCCGGCAGGACTCGATGTCTGTGTAACTTTTAGGAATGTTCAGGAGCTTTGTTATTCATGCTAATGATGTTGTAATTAGATTGAAAAATAAATGATTCATTAATTAGTGAAGAAAAATTAAACTACAACAATGCTAAACACGCTTTTTTTGTGTGTGTGTGTGTATTTGCATTGCACACATAGCAACAGCAACAATGCAGTTGAATAAAAGGGTTTACGGGACAAATCTGTGCGATATTAAAGTTGGTCTTAAAACATTTTATTTCCTAAAATCTGATCTGGGAAAAGTTGGCCATCACCATGTTAGCAGCCAGAAAACTCAGCAGTGCAAACTGTCCCACTTGGTGAGGAGAAGGGTAACAGGTGATCTGATCTGTCAGCCTGTTGCTCACTATGTGGGACATGTTAGATCTTTAAGTAGAATAAACACCTCCTTAACTTGGTAAAAAAAAAGACAAAGCACGTCCCAGGTACTTAGAAACTCAAGTTGCACAATCTAATTTAGAAACTAAGCTCAATTTTAAACAGCGTGGATAATAAACATCAACTCGCTCAGAAGTTGGGGTGATTTTCTTTTAATTAACTTAAAAAAAATTTAAAAAATTTAAAAAAATTAAAAAAATAGAAAAAGTAGTGCCTTGCAAGAGGACAAGAGTTCAGGTACAGTCACAGACCCAAGCCACCAGCGCAGGGGGCTCAGGGCTGGCATTCCGCATCCTGGTGTCGCTATGAGGGATCCTCAGGGAATAGCAACGCCGCTGGCGCAGGAGAGAGGAGCAGGCTCCTGGGGTGCCACTGGGGAAAAGGGGCCGGCTCCTGGAGCGGGAGAGGGCTGAAATTGTGAGGCTCAACCACTACTAGGAGTTTCCAGAGGCTCCTTTTCCCTCAAAATTAACGGGGGGTTGGGGGGTGGGCAGAGGAAGAGAGATATATTAAGTATTTTTATTGTATAAACGGAGCCCTTAAAGACACTGTGCTGCTGCCATCAAGTCTCCTCACATCACACTGGTTATATTTGGGACCAAGGAGGTGGGTTGGTGTTCTCGAGAGGGATTTTAAAGTGAAACAGAATCACAGAATGGTTAAGGTTGGAAAGGGACCACAGTGGGTCATCTGGTCCAACCTCCCTGCTCAAGCAAGCTCGTCCTGGAGCACATGGCACAGGATTGCATCCAGAGGGTTCTTGAACATCTCCATTCAGGGAGACTCTGCACCTTCTCTGGTCAATCTGTTCCACTGTGCTGTCACTCCTACAGTAAAGAAGTTCTTCTTCATATTCAGGTGGAACTTCCTGTGCATCGGTTTCTGCTCGTTGCTTCTTATCCTATTGCTTGGCACCACCAAGAAGAGCCTGGATCCATCCTCAACAGTCTCCCTTCACATACTTATAGACATTGATGAGGTCCCCTCTCACTCGTCTCCTCGTGGCTGAACAGGCCCAGCTCCTTCAGCCTTTCCTCGTAAGAGATGTTCCAGTCTCGTGATCATCTTCGTAGCCCTCCGCTGGACCCTCTCCAGGAGCTCCATGTCTCTCTTGTACTGAGGAGCCCAGAACTGGACAATTTCCAGGAGGACTGCCGCCATCTCGTCGCCGGCAGAGAGCCGGGGGTCGCCCGCCCGCCCAAGCCCAGCATGAGGAGGTGTGACCCGCCCCACCACCGGCACGGCCCGGGTACCTGTTCGCAAGGAAATACTCCTCTCGCAGCTCCGACAGTCTCTCCTGCAGGCGGGCCAGGGCGGCCATGCTCCCTCCCTCCTCCCGCCCTCCCGACGCCGCCGCCATGGCAACGGGACCGTCCCACTGCGCTGGGCCGCGGGGGTGGCGCTGCCCCGGCGGCCGCGCGGGCAGGGACCGGCACCGCTCCGGAGGCAGCGGGGGCTGCGCGGGGCTGCATCGGGACCGAGACGGAGGTGCTGGGGTGAACGCGGAGCCCCTGGGTAGCGGCCGGGAGAGGGCTGGGAAGAGGCGAGGTGGTCGCGCCCGGCTTCCTCCGGTGCCGCGGCCGCTTCCGGGCCCGCATCATGGGGGACTGAGGAGCAGCGCCGGCCGCCCGCGCCCGCCCGCCCGGCCCGAGCCCGCCCGGCCCCGGCCCCCGCCCGCCTCCCCTCGGCACAGTCTCTGCGAAGCGGCGCCAGCCTCCCCGGGGAGCGGCCGGGCGAGGCGCCGGGTTCATGTTCCGGGTGGCTGAACCTACCCCGACCCGAGCTCAGGCGGCGAGGAAGAGCTGGTAAGCCCGGGCTCGGGGGGGACACGTGTCCGCCGCCCCCTGCCCGCCCGCGGGGCCGCTGGAGGCGGGAGCGGGTCGGGAACAGCATCTCCGCGCCGCGGGTGGGGCTTGGAAACGTGGGGGCGGGTGGTGCCCCCGCCGGGCCTCCCCGGGGCTGCGGCTGGCACAAGGCGGAGGTGATGGTGGTGATGGTGCCCGGCCAGGCCCCGGGGATGCGCGGCCGGAGGTCTGACAGGTGCCACTGCCGCGTCCCGGCGTTTATGAGCGAGCAATAGGCGGAGGAAGGAATTTCAGCGACTTACTGAAAAGGGACAGCAGGCAAACGATGAATCAAAACTTTTGTCCCGAGCTCAGTTAGGTTTCCCTGCGTGTTTGGGTTTTTTTACCAGCTGTAGGCTCTCTAAGGCCTAAAGCCCTTGCAGTGTGTGCAGCTGAGCATCCAGGGACCTGGCTTTGCTGCTCTGGAGATTTTTTATTGCAAACCAAGAATCAACAAGTGCTGCTGTAGCCATCGAGCAGGGAAAGCGTGGGTGGTTCTCCTGCAATAAAGTTCACAGATTTACTGTTTTATGTAATTCCATGTGCCAGCATAGTGACCCCAAAGGCCATATTGTTTTTATTGTAGCAGTGTGAATAGAGGAAGACGAGTAACAGAATAGAAACAGTCACTTTTGTTAATAGGCCATGGAGATGTAAAGACTGGTAGTGGAGAAACTTGATAGACACAGGATGTCCCAAACAACCAGATGGGAAGCCTTTCATTTTCTTCCTGAAATGTTACATATCTTGTGATATGTTAAGTAACAACTGGTGTGTATAGCTTGTCATTCGTTTCACTTTTATTAATGTCAGCAAAGAGGATTGTGGTGGGATTTTTTTGTGTTTTTTCTTAATAATTTGAGGCCTTGAGGCTTTTTTAGAGGCTGTATTACATATACAAATACCTTCTGGTAGATTTCTCAGATCTAAAATAGTTTTTCTTTGATTTTTTTTTCATTTCTTTTCTGGGGAAGAGGAAGAAGAGGAAGGGAAAGGCTTTGCACTGTGTTTTCTTACAAAGAAAACTCCATTTGTCCTCCACTTTTGCCGATACCATCTGTTTTTTTTCCTGTGGGTATTGTCATGATTTCTTTACAATTTTCTACATGAGAAAACTTTCAAAGAGGGATTTTAATTGCTCTGATAAATGTATTGGCTAGAAGAAGCTTGTCAGTATTGCTAGGCATCCAAATTTGCCTGATGTAAATATAACTTCTGTTGGTGTAACTCAGAACATTTCAGAGAATGAGGTATACTCCAGTGGCACAAGTATTTTTACTTGAGTAGAAATGCTGCATACAATAGAAACATTGCCTACGACATTCCGAACATGTCTGTACTCTGAGAATTTTTTCATTAAATATACCTGTCATTCATCTTTAAATTTTACTGGTTTGTGTCCACATAAAGTAATAGTCTTCAGCAACATGAGGTGTGGGCATAGTCTTCTGCAATTGTCATTAGACAGTAGTGATTTTGCTTGTGCAAATACGCTGCCCACGGGAATTCAATACAGAGAAAAATATTGAAATGTTATCTATAGCACTCTTAGTTTAGCAGTTCTTAAGGAAGGTCTGTTGAAAATTTGACTGCTCCTCAGAGCTGCTCTCCTATTCTTATATAAAAGTTATTTCAGAAGTTGTCTATTAAAGGAAGTCCATTTGAGTGGGATGCAGGAAAATACTTTTTTCGGTGTCTAATACTTGATGTAGAAAATTAAGAACTTGTGCTTTTTTAACAGCATTGAGACCCTAAAGAGCTGAGTAGATTCAGACAACCACAAAGTAAAATTGTTCACTTTGGGTGGTAAAGCTGCTCGGAAGCTGAATGTTTTTGATTTAAATTGTGAACACATGTAGCAATTTAGGAATAGTTTGTATTTGAGATACTTATTGGGCACTCTGATAATGACTGTGGTGCTATAGTGTATTACCACCATGTGACAGTTCATGTAATTCTGCACCTTGACAATTAATTAATGAACTCATACTTCTGAAAAGGGCAAGCATATCAGTAAATGACAGCAATGGGATTGCAAGAATTGCTCCCTCTTATGATAAATTGCTCCAAATCTCATTTCTGGCTGACCAATTCGTTTGTGTTAGAGCCTTGTTAAATGTAGTTCATGTCAGCATCTTTCTGGCTGTATGCCATTCCTCTGTAAACACTTTTTCACTGTTAAATATAAGTAGACTGATAGTATTTATTGTTGTGCCTTCTTAGATAAGCAGCAGTTGTAGAAAAGTCAGATATACTTATTGCAAGTTAGCCTGACCCTAATTTTTAGGAGGATCAGCAGCATACTCAGTTATAAAATACCATCATTGCTCAAATACTTTTTATTGTATAGGATAGAATCACATAATCACAGAATGGGTCAGGTTGTAAGGGACCACAGTGGGTCATCCAGTCCAGCCTCCCTACTCGAGTAGGGTCATCCTAGAGCACACAGCACAGGATTGCATCTAGACAGTTCTGGAATATCCCAGTGAGGGAGACTCCACAACATCTCCTGATGCATCAGTTTCTGCCCATTGCCTCCTGTCCTGTTGCTTGGCACCGCTGAGCAGAGCCTGGCTCCGTCCTCTTGACACCCTTCCTTCAGATACTTATAGACATTGATGAGATTCCCTCTCAGCCATCTCTTCTCTAGGCTGAACAGGCCCAGCTCCATCAGCCTTTCCTCATAAGGTATATTCCAGTCCCTTGATCATCTGTGTAGCCCTCCTCTGGACCATCTCCAGGATCTCTGTCTCTCTTGCCTGAGGAGCCCAGAACTGGACACAGCACTCCAGATGTGGCCTCGCCAGGGCTGGGATCATTTCCCTCGACCTGCTGGCAGTGCTCTTCCTCATTGGCCTCCTTGTCTGCAAGGACACACTGCTGGCTCATGGACAGCTTGATGTCTGCCAGGACCCCAGTATCCTACTCTGTGGAGCAGTTTTCCAGCAGGTCGGCTCCCAGCCTGTACTGGTGCACAAATGAAAGGAAACTCCAGTTGTCTAAAGCAGTTTCTCAAATACAGAGTTGGTACCAAGAATTCATGTGTTGTGTGTGATTGGAGAATAAAATGTTGGTAGTAATTGTATGCAGTTACTGGGAGCTGTATATATGATATAGAAAAAGTTCATAGACACTTCCAGCAAGTGTAGTAACTATGTCTTAATTGAGGAACAATGACTTTCATAAATCTTAATTTTTTCAAAATCCTCCTGTGCTTTTTTATTTTCTGGAACTGATTTATATACACACATAATGGACTGCAAGAAAGGAGTGTTGGCATACCTCGAAGGTGAAAAGTAGCCTGGGATTTTGGGTTTGATTTTCCCTTTTCGGATATAGATGTGCTCCAACATATGATCCTGGTTTGTCTTGAGAGTCCTCAGCTTTTGCAACTCTTCACATTATCTTATATAAAACTCAAAACCCTTTAATTTCTCCGTGTCTGTTCTGATACTGTCACATTTTTAAATTTTATAGTATGAAAATTACATTTGTATTAAGTTTCTTTGGTCTGCGTGTCAGATTTACTTTGAATGTGTTGCCGATGCATTGGCTCTTAGACTTTAGGAGAAGTGGGATCCTCAGAAGTGGGAGAGTACGGAGAGTCTTGGTAACTGGCTGCTGTGCCCCGTAGCAATGGTCGATACAGGGTGGAAAGGGTGGAATACGTTTTGGTCGTAGTGTAGCTTTTCATACCTGATTGTCCAGCAGACAGTGCCTAAGGACGTAAATAGATGTGGATGTGGAACCAGATGCTTTGTCCTCCTCGTAGAGTTGGCTTTTTAATGACAGGTGAGTTTAAGTAGTCTAGGTACAACTTCAGTTTCTGATCATAGAATCATTAAAGTTGGAAAAGACCTCTGAGATAAAGTCCCACTGTTAACCCAGCACTGCCGTGTTCACCACTAAACCATGATCCCAAGTGCCACATCCACACATTTTTTGAAGACTTTCAGGTATGGCGGTTCCACCACTTCCCTGGGCAGCCTGTTCCAATGCCTGATCATCCTTTCAATGAAGAAATTTTTCCTTAATATCTAATCTAAACCTCCCCTGGTGCAACTTGAGGCCGTTTCCTCTTGTCCTGGTATTTCTTACCTGAGAGAAGAGCCTTCTACGGAATAGTTGTTTCCTAATCTACCATAGTCTCTTGCTAGCTTTTTAACTCGGTTGTGTTACTTCATTTTGCTTCCATCTTCATGTATCCCAAGAACATGATAGTTCTCCTTTTTGGATCCATAAATTCTTCAGGCAAGGCAGTGAGATTTATCGTATTCTGCTGCCTCCCAAATACTTGCACCTGTTCAATCCAAATTTCTGTCACACTCATTAAAAAAGCAGGGATCTCAAAACTAATGTTTCTAAGGCTTTGTGAAAATAGCTTCTGAGGTGGAGAAATGGGATTCAAATTAGTAGCTGTCTGAAGATAAAGGTACATTGTGAGTACACCTGTGTTACAAGACATCAGAGAATCCATATGGGAAAAGATTATAAGAATTTGGGTTTTATAATCCCGATGTTCAAGGAACTCTTTGATTT